TGGGGGGTCGGGGTCGGGGTAGGTGTAGTAGTGGTAGTGGTAGTGGTAGTGGTAGTGGTAGTAGTAGTAGTAGTAGTAGTAGTAGTAGTAGTAGCAGTAGTAGTAGTAGGAGGAGGAGTAGTCTTCTTAGTAGTAGAAGTGGTCTTCGCAGTAGTAGTAGTTGTAGTAGCAGTAGTAGTAGTAGTAGTAGTAGTAGTAGTAGTAGAAGGAGGAGGAGGAGTAGGAGTTCCAGACAAGTCTGATCTCGGCGCCTTGAAAGTTCTAAAGTATAAATTTTAGCTGGGTCTTCGGTCGAGTCTTTGTTTCGACCTTGGCCCGATAAGCTCCCTATAATTAATTCCAGTGAAGGCTCCCAAAGTGGGCTCCTGATGCCTCGCCTGGCACGGCACTTTGTGGAGCTCTTTGTCCCGGAGCCGGCGGAGGAGGATGCTGCTGGGCTAGGTGATATCTCTCCTAAGGTAGCATATGCGCGGATCTTATGCAAAGTACAGCTAGCTGCATTCTCATTCCGTTTAGTGCAGTATGTAGCAGGTACGAGTATCTTTAGTTATAGCATGCATTCCAGATGCTCCTGCCTTTGATTGCAATACGTGTATTCATGACTCGAACTCCAAGTAGGATTCCTAGCTCCACGGAGTAAAGTCAGTTTGTTGGGACTGACACCCGAAACCGCCCGAAACCTTCAGTTTCGAACCGTCACAGCATCTCTTGCCGACCAGCTAAGCCTCCACAAGAGTCCCTGGGTCCTGACGCATACGGATCTACGGCCTGAACCTAAGGCAAAGTACACCTGAGCCCTGAAATCGTAGGTCCCACGGCTTCCAGTTCAATTTCGCAGAGACCTGTAGAGGAATGGTGATGAACACTGCTCATCTCTGACATTCTGATTTGATTTCCCTAAGGTCAAGAAGATTTTCATGGAAGTTTCCCGACAGATACTGCAGGCCGGAAGGGGTCGGAGAAAGGCAGGAGGCAATGTGCCTATTAATATAGGGGCCTAAACGACTACCAGTACTACTTTGGGACTTTCCTTATTATAATTATAGTATGACATACCCCAAAACCGTCTTCTAATTATTAATCAAGGCCCCTGGATTACCCGTCTCAAAGTCCGCAAAGATGGTTGGAGTCACAACCAAACCCAGCCCTCAAGCATCAGAGGTGCTCCATGACAAGCCCAGCACAACATGCGGTCACTGAAGAGTCTGACATTGATTTTTTGCGCTCGGGGTTTTCCAAGCACTGTCTGGCAAATCGACGCACGTTGAGCAGGAGAGCAAGATACTTTGTGTTGGTAGATCGTATGCGCTCGCACCAGTTGAAGCCCAGCTTCGCTTCGTCGCTTTTCGTGCTATTGGGCTAACAAGGTTAAGCTGTAGGATGCTTTGTGGTCAGGGTTTGGAGTTTTAGGCCTGCTGCCTCGAACAGGAACCAAGCAAACAGTAGTCAATGTGACTATTGATCAGCTCGAGAGTAGAACCGTGAACCAGGTAAACGGTGCCGGCGATGGCCTTGTCGCTGCCTTCTCTGCTCACCAGGACCACGGCAGTTGACTCTTCGTCGGCCGTGACTTCAGGGATTAACCGATTAACTGAGTCATTTTGCACTCGTCAACGCGGTGTACTTGGGGGGGTGGGCACAGGGGGTGTCGGATGCGCGGTTCATAATCGAGACAGTCAAAACTTTTGGATGCAAGTTGTGGCAACGTTTCATTTCCTACGGTAGGGGTTTCGAAGCTGCGGAATTGCAGGCTATCCCACGTGTTGCGATGTTTTGAATGTTGGGGTGCAGCTGGACCTGCGCCCAAACCCCGTCTAGACAGACGGAATGTCTCGACCCAGCAAGCCCAAAATGCAAAAGTAAAGATGCCCCTGCGACTCTTCCCGAGAGCCCGCAGGAAGGCTCGAGCTCTGCGCGCCGATACAAAGTCGAGGTGCAGGGATCAGCATTGAGCGGTTGATTTGTCTCATTTTTGGAGGGGGGTGTCTCACGGAAGGCATAAAGCTATGCAGAAGATTGGCAAATCGGCTTGTTTCTTGTTAGATACTCTCATACCGCATATCGCACGTGTCCTTAATGACGCGGTGTGCAAGGTTAAGCGGGCTTGTTGTCGGGCTTCAGGCGTACATCCCGAACTTTCCGAAGATATTTCCGTAGTGCGGACGCGGGCGTTGGCCCATATACTGTAGGGTTGAGGAACCCGCCGGTGTTTCAAGGGGGCATGCAGTTGCGGTACGAGCAGCTGACAGGACGCACTGGCGCTGGCCACCCTCCATCTGTCGAAGCTGATGAAGGCCTTGGCAGCTTTTATAAAGCATTTCAGACTTTTGAGACGGTTGGATTCACACGAGGAGCAAACATAAACTGCGGACCAGGCACCGGCACTTCTGCTAGGAGTCATAGCCAGCTTCCTGCCCGACAGAGCTCCAAGACATTCCAAGACTATTTTCTCTTCGGCACTTTTCACCGAATCATGTCCAATGCCAAAATAATCCTCAGCGAATTCCCAGCTGCCCCCCAAATACTGTGTTCCCTGCACCACTGCATGCCCCCTAAATCTTCCAAGAAGCCTTGCACCTGAAGCGCTGCAGGATGTCTTGCGACAACATGCACCTGCGAGGTTGGGCATAACGAGTGTCTCAGCACTACATGGCTCTCAGAGGGAACTGACATTTTTTCTTTATGAACACCGCAGGCACCAGGACAACGATGATGATGACGACGACAGCGACGACAAACACAGATCAGCATCACCCCCTCCCCCTAACCCACCTCCACACCCACCATCACCTACCCACAGCCCAACCCGCACCTGCACCACCATCAGAAACGCCGCCATATCATAATCATCACTGTGCTAATATTGAAATTCAAAAACGATAGCCTGACGTCCTCCTTCGCTGTGTTGCGTAGACATCAGTTTGATTGTTTTCCATTGTCCTTCAATCTTTATTTAGCTCGATCGCTTGAGTCAGAGGCTGCTCTCCGCCTTGATTGCATATAGTTTCCTGCCAGCATACATTTTCTCGCCGTATAGACTGGGTAGGTTGTAGAGTAGGGAGGTTTATCAGTGTGACGGCAGCTGAGCCGCTCTGCAACAAGGTCTCAGGGATGTGGCTCGGCTACTGCAAGGCGCGGGACTTCGCGAGCAGAGGGAAGCACTGCAAAACCCAAACTGCGCATTCCTAAAACGAGCTACATACAGAAACAGGGTGAAGCCAAATTATGCACCCCCGGAATAGTCGTGTTCAGCAAGAGCTTGGGCTTTGAGTTGGGACGAGCACAGCAAGGCAAAGCTGCTGAATGAGCGTAGGTAAGCATAGTTGGCAGGAGCTGCAGGGTCGCGCGCCATAATCGACATTTCACCCTCACAGTCCTCGCTTCAGCCCTGGCACCTCTGCGGTCTCGGGATGTCTGGAGCCAGGATCCTTGTTTGTGGGTTTGCCAGCTTGGCACATGGAGTTATTTGCGGATCGGTAGGTGTCAGATGTCATAACATGCAGAAGCTCGGTTCAAGAAGCATGAACCCTCACCCGATCCTAGTAAAACTGGCACTACCTCTACCATTGCCCGTAGTAATGCTACCTGCTACTGCTTCTACCACTCCTGCTATTGCTACGTACTATCACTACTACTACTACTACTACTACTACTACTACTACTACTACTACTACTTCTATTACTACTACTAGTACTGCTGCTTATACTACTTCTACTGCTACTACTACCACAACTAGACACTACCTTTTGCACATTCTCCTCTTTGTTAGGCACCTAGTCTCATTCCAGCGATTCTCTCGTTTCCACGTTTTGTCAGTCCCCCCAACCAGTTGGCACCTTTTTCTCAAAATTCGTTTCTTTCTAATGTTCTCAAGTCTCTTTCGAGGCCCTCATTTCCAAGTCCTCTTTCTCAGGTAGCTACGTTTCTTTCGAGCGATTCGCTCTGACTTAGAGAGCGAGAATTGAGCAAGAGGTGCAAACTACTTCAAAGGAACGAACAAGGCTTGCAAACGAGAGCGAACCACTCGAAAGAGACTGGCAAACATGACAAAGAGGCTGAATTTGAGAAAGAGTTTCAAACCCGCCAAGAGAGACTAACAAAACTTGGAAACGAGAGTGAACCGCTCGAATAAAACTACAAAATATACAAGAAAGAGGAGACTGTTTGAGAGAGAGAGGCACAAACCAGTTGAAAAGGGAACCTGAGAAACAGGGATAAATTTGGACATAAAGTTTGGAAGCGAGCGCGAACATGATAAAGAGACGAATGTGAGAAAGAGGCGCTAACTAGTTGAAAGGGACGAGTTCTTGGAAACGAGAGCGAAGTGCGCGAAACAGAGTAGAGAAGATGAGAAAGTGGCAAATTTGAAGGAAAGGTGCAAACAAGTTGAAAGGGACAAGCGAAATTTGGAAAGGAGCACGAACCGCTCGAAAGAGGAGAACAAGGTATTAACTAGTTGAAAAGGACTGCCAGTACTTGGTCAGTCTGGAGAAGATGAGCAAGACGCACCATCTTGAACCCTGCATGCTTGCACCCTGCAGGCGTGGCTCGAGCAGCCCCGCATCACTTTACTGAGAAGATTCAACTCGCAAAGCTTTGGGCACATGAGGCAAGTCCCAGTTTTGCCTTGTTCGCTCAAACACACGGGGGCCGTCGGTTTGGATTGATGTGAGGCATAGACTGGCATAGACATCGGCTGAGTTCCGGGGTCGGACATTGCTTCAGACACGGGCATCGAGAAGTGCGAATTTGTGTAGCAATGTGCCTAGGTACGAAACCGGAAATATTCACTGCGCTTTCATACCACGTGATGGACTCGCTCGTGCTTGCGCGGTTGAGTGTGTCCTCCACTCCACTTTCAACATCTCTCAGTATCCCAAGATCCCCCAATCTGCACCCTCGGCTTGAAGGTATTCCTCGTCGGACTGGAACCTAGATTCTGCTATGTTGGCGTGATACGGACGCTGGGTCATAGGATACCCTTGCGGGAACCTTGAGTTCGATAAGACTCGTTGCCTCAGACCCTCTGCTACTGCTGCTGCTCGCGACAGGCACTGCGGACCTTCGAAGACCGCATCACTACAGATGCAGGCACTGCTGTTCCATGAGCCAGATCAAGATTGGGCTCAGGATCTGGACCAAGCAAAGACGCACTGCACAGTTTCCAGCATCGACATGAAACTTCGGGATTCCTGGTGGTTGGATGCAAGGCTATCGGAGGCTATCGGAGTTGGTTGGTATAGACATGGGTTCGCAGCTTGACGGAGTTGGCAACTAGACTTGGCATGGGTGCATCTCCGCAACTAGCGTTGGGTGAATCATGGAAGAGCTGTTGATGTGTCAAAGTGCTGCGGGGGGATTCTCCAGTCGAAAATCTGGACTTCCTGACTGCTGATATCACAGATGATTTGACTGCAGATCCCGAAAGTCAAAAACCCTACTCGAAATGCTTTCAGAGACTCTGATCGCCCTGCGTGAGGTCAGCGTCGCTTTCGGGAAGTTCTCTCACAGCAGCTGCAGCTTGCATTGTTTTGTGCCATAGTTGGTAGATGGGGAATGGTTTTTATTGTTCTGTTTGATGTGTCCAGCTTGAGTCGTACCTGGCCGGGGGCAGGGTGCTTTTGGAATGTCAATCTGGGTGTCCGTATTCCGACTGGCTAAGCTGGCTTGCAGGGCATTTGCCAGGCCTGTCGAAGGTGAACACTTTACCTCGGAAGCGGGACTGGGCCTGCACTTGTGGCACATGTAATGCAAGCGACAGGCAAGATTCGCCTTCGGTTGCAGTACGCGCAGCGTACTGCAAGTGCATTTCAACCGAGAGCGAACCATATTTTCAACCTCACGAGCCGCGGTCCGCGGTTATCCACAGTCTGCAGCCTTATCAGGCATGGAACGACCGCCACCGACACCTATTTTCCCGACATCTCCGGACGCAACCTGAAAGCCGGCAAATCCTCGAATCCGAAGCCTAGAGTGAGCCTGCATCCCAAGATCCTTTCAGGGAGACCTACTTCGGCATGGAGCCAGCTTTGGAAGGTGCCGATTGTTCAGGGACTCTGATTTGTCAATGGGGTCGCTTAGGGATGACATCCAGGTTGTTTTGTGCAGTTTTGCGGAACTCAGACGCATCATGCCGTTTGCTGCACATTGCCTCTGGAGATCTAGCAGTCCCCCTGCAGTTGGACTGTGAGTCGACCCCCATCGTCGCGTTACGTGGGATTCAGCTCCGGCTTCCGCTATTGCATGACACAGGACACTTCAGTGACCGTTTGCCACAAGCCTTGCTTTAAAACATGCACGCCCATTTGCCCCAGCCCGGAAGCCAGAAGCCCACGACTTAGAAATGTAGGCCTTGTAGATCCTTGTAGCCCATACACCCAATACCTTTGCGATCGGAAGCCCTGCACTAAATCCCAAGCCGCAATTCCTCGGTGAAGGCCTCTCCTTCCGCTTGGACACGAGCTCTGGTCGATACGTCGACTCCGACTCCCAGGTCAATTTGCCGGTTTCTTGTTGTTTGCACCTGAGGTTACTTCAAACCATACAGTACTGTACGTACGAACCAGAATCGTCATGGAACAGTCATGGTCAAAGAGGAATGAGGAAGCCTACCCAAGGTCTCGGAACGGTGCATGCTTCAGGAGCTTTAGGGAAAGGCAGCATGGGCCAAGCCGAGAGTACTGGCTGTGCTTGATCTGACTGACCTGGCCTCTCCTGCCTGGCAGCTTCGACTGCCAGGAAACCAGGCTTCTTGACAGCCTGACGGAATCTTGGATTGCAGACTTGATGCTGACAGTCGACTTGTGGATTCCCTGCTGATACATCCTGCATTGTACTGTGATCTTCCAAAGCACAGAGGCGGTTGGCAGGATCGAGTAACTCGGAAGCATCGCGAGATGTCTTCGACATCGTGGAAATGTGCATTTCACTTAGCCCAGCAAACGCAACTGGAAGTTTTTACAGAATTATTTCAGACACGTGGCAGTGCTGCTAAGCGTGCTTAGATATTCCGTAGCACCGTGACCCCGCCAAGAACCAGACGAGCCGAGATCCTGCCCCAAATATGCAATGTGCCAGACTAGGATGACGTCGCCGTCGTTACAGCCATGCGTAGACCCTTAAGAGGCGGTTCGACTGGTCAGAATGCAGGCTACAATTCGATCTTCTTGGCTTGCCCCATGCATTGGCTGATGCTTGTAAGCACTACTCCTCGACCGACCCTGCCTCACGTGGCTCGAAACTTTGGTCTTTGTGGCGGATTTTTACTGTAGCTTTCACGGCGTGTCCAGGAGATCTTGCATGACCTGAATGGGAAGACAGCCGAGAAAGGCCACCAGACTCATGTTGGTTTGAAGAGGCTTTTGGATTGAGACACGCCTGCACTGAACTCATGTTGCAGTTGTGTGGCAAAGAGGACATCTGCACCTGCAAACACATGTCTGAGCACTAGAATCACTAGAACCACTAGAATCGTCACCGACAAGCACGCAGTTCGGCTGGACAGAATAGAGGTTGGAAGTCGGAAAACAGCCAAACTCCTTCTGCGGGCAAATCTAGTATGTTACTGGGCCTTGTCGATCATTGTTCATCACGCTCTGTACTTCGAAACGGATTCAGCCCTAAGGCTCAGTGCTCGGCCCAGCACAGTCACAAGTCAACGTCAGCGATTGCAGACGAGCACATGCAATTGTCATAGTGTGTTCCTGGACTGTGCCTCCGAACAGTTGCTGATATGCAATACATATACCGTGCAGATAGCTGCACATAATACAATCTGAATGCAGGCTTATGTTGTATATACGTATTTTCATGGGTGTTCGTGCAGCATGAGCTATGTGGGTATCTATGTATCATGTATGCATGTCGTGTGTGTGTATGTTTGCTTGTATATGTGTGCGGATGTCGGATGATGTAGGTATCGAACCATATTGCCTGTATGAGCGTGAATATGGGCATGAACCGCTACACAGATGCATATACCTATTGACATACATATGCACATACGCACTCAGCCTTTTGCATATACATCATACACACATTGACATGCCCATATATATATATACATATATATATATATACATGCACAGAATTGTTTTATGTATGCAGACAACCATACATGCACTCACACACAGAGAGCTATGTGTACACACACACATTAGATAATACATACTATATTATATTATATTATATT